AGATGCTGTCGCTATACCGTTTGGCTGGCAAGGCGCCAACAAGGAGATCCGAAGGCGATTGCGGCAAAGCGAGTCGTGACTACCGTAATTGCCGCGTTGGGATGAGATCAGTGCTTCAGCTTTGTACTTCAAGGAGCGTTCGTTTTGCGAAGTCGCAGCAGTGATCACGGTGCCAACAAACTGTAGATCGAAGATTTGAGCTCTTATAGCGACAAAATGAAGTCTAGCACATAAAAATCTACGTAGACCTTCTTTAGCCACTTTCACTGATCTCTGAGTTCACTAGGAGTTCGCCTAGTGGTAGCGGTCAGGTGGCTGACAAGAACACGAACACCGATTAGTACTCATTGGTTTATCCTTATGGCAGAAATGGGGTGCACAAAGGAATATAGGAATATAGACCAAATAAGGTATACCAGTGGGAGTAGGATATGGCAGGCAGGCAATGATACCGTTAACGGCATCAGCCAGCGTCAGCAGAGGTACGGTGGGCGACCAGTCGACAGCTTGACAGAAGCGCGACTCTTTGCGGCTTTGCATCGTCGGTCACGCCCTAAACATATGAGTCATGTCTTCTGGCATTACAGCGGTCTAGCTATTCTAACAAAACCAGTGATTTCATGCTTCTAATTACTTCTATTTAGTATCTGCCTCGTCCTGAAATATACGCCAATCCAGTTAAAATCACCAATCAGTCTGTGAGTCAATATGCTAACTTTCTAATTCTAATTTACAAAATCGTGCTTTATTTTCAGTACGCCATCATGAACAAAATGGCCGCCCGCCGAGTGAGCTCAACTTTTGATATATGGCGTGGTTCTTCTCTCGAAATCCTTTTCTTTGCAGAAAATTCGCCTTCAAAAGACTGAGGCTCGCAGCCGTATGTTCGTAACAACCGTCTCTTTCCCAGTCATTGTCAATCGTACATTCATGGGCGTAGCTGCAGTGAATATCCCACTTACTGAGCTCAACCAACAGGCTCATCCCAGCAATGTGAGTCTGCTGTGAAAATCTCAGCCTGTGGCTGTATCATTTCGCAACCTTCAATCTTCTTTTAGATTGGTGGTCGAAGTTACTTCTTCATGCTTGATCAAAATGGATTCATAATGTTTCATCCACAGCT